TCTAGGGTTATCAAATGGGTACAAGTTTTATGTTGGTGGGAAAGATGGTTGGGTCCTTACACCTTCCGAGGATTATACTCATTGGTCTCACCGAAACCGGTTTCAAGTCAACGACACTCTTTGTTAGTCCCTCTTTCTTCTCTTCTATAGTAGACTAGACACACAGTGTATCATAATGTCATTGGTGCATGATGATCTCATATTGTTTGTATAATTTTGATTTTGCAAGATTTTAAGTATCCCAAGGGAAAAAATTCAGTGTTGGAAGTGAGTGAAGAAGAGTACAACACATGCAACACCACTCACCCCATCACTTCTCTATCAGACGGAGATTCTCAGTTTCTACTTAGCCGCTCAGGTTCCTTCTTTTTYGTCAGTGGCAACTCTGGAAACTGTCTCAAAGGTCAGAAGCTAGCTGTGAAGGTCATGTCCACCGTCCACCACAGCCACAGTCCTCGTCAGCCTTCTCCTTCCCCGTCACCATCACTGTCTCCGGTCCATCAGGACTTGTCGTCGCCGGCACCTTCTCCGGGATTGGCTGCGTCTAATTCAGAGGTTCTTGCTCCAACTCCAGGGCCTGCGGCAGTTCGTAACTCGGCAGGTTTGGTTAGTCCGGGGGTGGTTTCTCTAGGCTTGGTTCTTGTGGTTATGATGGTTTAGGGTCCGTATGTTGTTTCTGGTCATTTAATTTGTGAGAGTTTCATATTAATATGCCTTTTTTTTAGTATGTTTGAAGCATTGGTATTTTTTTTTTATTGTTTATCTTGTCTCGTATTCGTTGTCTTTACTAAACAAAATATTTTAACTAGAAGATGCGAATGATTTTGTTTTGTGTGTTAATCAATAATCATGCTAGTATTCACATAGTTCATGCAAAACCATCTCCATGTAATTAAATCTTGTTGAAATCATTGCAAAACCTTCTATACAATTAAATATTTGATTTTTTTAATGTTAAATTTAATCAATAAAAAAACATATACTATAACCAAATGGTTTCCATTTGGAGAGGAGTTGCTTTGTGGGTATAGATCAAAGTTGAATTCCCCTCAAAAGCAAAAGTATCTAACCCTTCCCATTTGGCTAGTCGAAAAGGTGTCACGCTAAGACCTAGGGCAAAAAAAAAATTGATTTTTCTGCATTGCAGAAAGTGCCAATTTTTTGGTTTTTGCAAAAACGGGCCTCTAAAATTTTTTAAATCTTATTTATAAATCTATCTAAAAAACCCAATTTTTTTTTTTGCTTTGGGCCCCAAAATTTCAGGATTAGCCCTACTTAGGCCCCTTTGAAAACATGGTGAATGGGCTACAACTACACTCACCCTGCGGAAATTAGTCGGGTGGTAAAAACCCGAATCACATCATAAAAAAGAGAAAATTCAAAAAATGCCATTTTTCAAGTGCCACTTTACAAAAATGTCACACTTTTGAAATCTTTACAAAAATGCCACTTTTTCAAAATTATTTTTTTTTATATCATTTATGTTTAGATTAATTATGTTCTATTAGGGTTTAGTTATGAGGGTTTAGGGGGTTTTAGGGGTCAAAATATTTTTTAGGGTTTAGAATTTTAAGATATAGGCTTTATAGATCTATAATTAGTGGTATTTTTGCAAGTGAGCACCTCTAAGTAGCATTTTTGTAAATGTGCACACAAAAATTGGCATTTTTGTAATTGCCCCAAAAAAAATCTC